TCAGCAGGTTTTTTTCCAGAACCCCAACAGGTTCTGCAAAACAAGGGGTTGAGGCTGGAGCACGGTGGTAGCCTTCCTGATCCTTTTCCTTTTCCCCTCTGGCTTATTCTTGACTCATCCTCAGTGTTTCATTAAGTGATGCCTTCTTGCTGACAGCCCAATTTCCAGGGCAATCCTGTAATTGCAGGATTTCTTCCAGGCTCTTTTTGCCTGTCCCTCACTGAGAAGCCAAAGTAGAAGGTGCACAAGCACTGGTTTGTCTGGTGCTTTCTCCAGCTCAGTGTGCACTGGGCAGAGCAGTGCTGGGAAGCACAGAGATCATCTCCCTGTGCCATTAGGCCATCTGTTTGTGGGGCTGTCCCCTCAACCACTGCCCCAAACAATTTGCACTCCTTAAGTCCCTCCTTACACACACACAGGCATCCTAAATACCCTCCACAATCTTAGCACCTTTAAATTTCTATGTATAGACTCTTAGTGACAATTTTTGTCTAATATTGACATTACAACCACATTTACCAGAAATTTGTATTGGCACAAAGATTTTGACATAATCATTGTAGCACAATGTTACCACAAAGTCCTAATGGCACAAAAAGGAACTGTAGAGAAATCACTTTGCTGTTCCCATGTTATACAGGAACTTTTTAATCTAGGACTGGCATTTAGTCTTGATATGTTTCTCGTGTATCTCCCTCCTCACTGCACTGAAAATTACCTTGTGTTGGTTCTGTTGGCTCCTTCTAACTCTTTGCCATAACCTCAATAACATTGTTCTCTGTAGTTTGCATTATTGCTGTGAGCTAGTTGTTAGGATGCTACTGGGTGAGAAATTAGGACTAAAACCAATGCAGTCTAAAAGCTAATGAGATTTTAAACACTAAGAACACAATGAGTTTTCTGTTAATAATGGGAAAAAAAAAAATACCAGGTCAGCTTTTTATTTTGTCTTCTATTTAGATGACACAGAGTTTTGTATTGAAAAATCTTCCAACCTGTTTGCTCTAATTTTTACCTAGAGCAGTATCACTGAAATTTCAGTTCTTTGAAATAATCACATGTAAAATCTTAACTGAATAACATAGGTCAGTAATTTTTTTACTCTGATAGTCCTGGCTAACTTGCAATATCACGATCGTGAGAGATTTCTTAAAATGTGTATATATTTGAAATTTATGTAATATTTAAATACGACTTGGTTTCTAAGTATGGACTGAGAATAAAATGTCAACTATTTTTTCTATTCATGAATCCACACTTTGTAAGTAATATATAAAATACAGTACCACAGTTTCAGAGAAATTTACTTTTGTGCACTACAAGCTTAGAAGTTCCTCTGACCTGTCAGCTTTTAGTTTCTTTTGTGTTTTAAGATTACTTTTATGAGCTGATATGTACCCCAGAATTAAAGAAACTCACTGAGGAAAAAGCTGTTGATGCAATGAACTGTTGTAAGACACTTATGGCATAAATTTGTCTTTGAGATGCTGTTTACTTTATCAAGGTTTACATGTACAAATCAACTACTTACTGTATCATACACATTTGAATATTGCATTTTTTCAGTAATAAACTTGGATATCTTTGAAAGAGACTTGGAGCTTCATTATTCCAAATATTTAAAGTTAATTTAAAAAAAAAAAAAAGATATGCACTTCAAAAGTGAGTGCTCATGTGCCTTCAAACCATAGTATTGTAAGGAAGTAATTTCAGGCTTAAACTTGATTCAGACACTTATTTGACATTTAACAACTAAGTATTCAGTTTATTTGGGTCTCAAGGTACATACAGACTAACTTTTCAAATTTGCAATAATGTTTGGTCTGCTGTTTTCACTAGTGACTAATAATTTATTAAATTTAAGCTCCTGTGTTAGAATGTAAATGTTTCTGGTTTCTTAATCCTGTTTTTGCAACTCGAGTGCACAGGCTGGCTCTTCTCTGCAGGAATCACTGGCTCAGGACATAAAGCAAACAAGTAGATAATAACTGTAAATGACACAGTCCTCAGGATTTATTATTCAGAATGGTAATTTTTCTGAATCCCAGATTTGCTAGGCCACATCCCTAAGTCTTGATAGAATGCTGTATAATGAACTACTAATTAACAATTTTAGCTGTCATACATTAAGTAAAACCTTGTGGAGTGCCTGGCTCCTCTGCAAATACAGAAGACACTTGGACTTGATAAGCAGCTTTGATTGAAACAAAACTAGTCCAGAAATATGACATTAAAGAGAAACTCTTCAGGCTATTTCTTCAAAGGTGTTTTGAGGTAATGCAATTCTAGCCAACCTACCTCACTTTTTTTGGCCATTAAATGGACCAATTAGGATTCTCTTTTGTGGCAAAGGACTTGGAAAGCTACTCAGTCTGTAGCGACTCCAATGTAAAAGTGTTGCTAAATTTGTGAAAAAATACTGAAAAATGCAAAATGTGCATCTTCCAGCATGTAGAGCAGAAGAACAGTGCAGTGAGTAGATGTCTCAAGAACTGTTGAGAGCAGACTTGGTCATTCTCATGGTTTGATGTCTCTAATTCAGATATCCTCCAGCTGCCAATAGAGAGAGGGTTTTTCACCCAACATCCAACTATGTAACTTCAGGTGTTTTGAATCACTTTCACTCTGGAATTACTTTACATCCTTAAGCATGAAAGGCTCTCTTTGTATGATCTGCAGCAAAAATGTGTCACCTGACACATAAAGGATGCATTTGCATTATTGACTGAGCTTGTCTCTGCCTTGCTAACCATATGGAGGATGGAAGCACAAAGGGAAAGCACAGGAGACACCAGGCTGCCTGCCAGACTCTGCTCTAAGCTTTTAGGAGATTATAAAAGTGGTGTAACAGGGATTAACACAAATATTGACTTAACTCTGGGTTTGTTGACAAACTGTCCCGCTCAAGCGAGACAGCATTATTTACAGACTGCTATTTCTGTTCTCTAATTGAATATCCTGGGACTGTTCCCAGAGGCAGGGCATGAACACAGGGCAAGGACCAGGTTACCCTAGATCTACACCATAAAGATGATCCAGAGAGAGCCAAAGCAGCAGCTGGGTTCTTCAGAGCAATATGAGCTAAATATCAGCTGGGTCCATAATGGTCTGAGTCATCTTTGATATTTTCATTCAGTCGGTTCTGTTCAGTTGTGCTTTTTGTTTAAGAACAAATACATTCATAAAAAAAAAAACAAAAACCCTACATCCAGAAATTTTAATTACATCAGGCAAATTTTAGAGGAAATATGTTTTACTGAAACAGAGCACTTGGTGGACTAGGTACTGTCTTCCAAGAAGAAAATAGACAGGTTTTACTGAACAGATTATCTTGCCTAGTGATGGGCCTTTTTCCAAAATTCAGCATGGATTATCAATTAGGAGGCAATCATGAAATGGTTTATTTTCTTTATTGCATAAAGGTAGCAGATGGAGCTTTTTGAGCTGGAAGATTGTCTTTCCAAGACTAGCACAGACAAAGAACTACTCAAATTCAAAGTACAATTTGTTATCCTGTCCTATAGCTTTTAGAATAAGACATTATAAAGAAATTTGAGTTCCACAGAGGAAGCAAATATTATTTACTCAGTCACTAAAAGACCAGTCTGGTCTATACAACGTTCCTGTGAGGAGGCTTTTTGTGATACATAACATTAGGCAGAGAGTAGCTCAGCCTGACCTCCCTCTTCTCCCCGGGGCTCCCTCCATCAGAGGGCAGCTCATGGCCTCTCCTTAGTGAGAGACCTCAGAAGCTTCTCCAAGGTCTTGCTTTATCTCAAGTTCACCTTTGCACATTTCCCTTCAATGACTAGTTACTGGGCAGGGCATGTGATAGAGACGTGTTGCAGCTACTTCCCAGCAGGAGCTTCCACAACAAGATTCATGAAATGTTGCTTCTGAAATCACAGTGCTTCCAAAACCCCCTTGTCCGATGATTTCCCAGGTCTCTCATGAAATTCATAAATAAAAATCTGGCCTTTATTGTTATATCCCTCCTGGTCATTTACAAGCTGGTAAATGTGGTAAAAAGAGCTCTTCATTTCTGAAACTGGAGAAATAAAGTTTGATTTGATGTCCTCTGTCCCTCAGCTGCTAGAGGCGAGATTCTTTGCTCACATTAGTGTAAGAATTTTCCTCGGGGTTGTAACCAGGGAACTGGCATCTGTTTTCTACGTTGATACTGTTCTTGAAGGTGTCATCTGTTCCAGTTTCATTTGCAGAATTAGACAGATGTTTTTCAAAGCCCACCTGAAAAAAAATAAAATACCTTAGTATTTGAAGCCTGTATTTACTTCACTACTTTTTTTTTTCATTTGCTTAAAGGGTATGTTGTAGCATTTTTACATTTTTACGTCCTTTCTTATAAATCTGAGGAGCTACTTCAGTACATCAAATGACTCTCAGACCCACAGACACAGTTTATTGTGTGTCCCCTGCACATTCAACCACTGATTTTCTCCACAGAAAGTATTTGGCAAAAGCAACAAAACGAGCTTCTCACAATTCCTCTGTCCATGTAAAAATCTTGAAATGTGCCCTCAGTGCATCCTCAATCCCTTTAATTTAATTTGTCATTTGCATATTTATCCAAATTTTAGTGGGCTGGTTTTGTCTGGCCTACCCTTGCCTCAGTAGTTTCACACTGCAGCTACTCAATTAATGATGTTATTCTACATTTTAAGCAAATACAAAGGGATAAATACATGTGTGACATTTTTTGTTGTTTGGTTTTTTTTACTACTTTTATTGGGAAGGCTTTTTTTCTCCAGAAAAGTTCTAGATGAAATCTTTGTTGAGCACATAAAAGCCAAGTGAAATAGCTGAAGCAAATCTAGAGCTGCTGCTGGGCCCCATATTAGATCATTAACCTTAATGTCAAATGTAATGCAAGCTGGGTGGAAGAACAGGTTCTATGTTACTGCTCAACACTGTGAGCCTTGCAGCTGAACATTTACTTCCAAGATTTAAAGGTATCTGTAGAGTACTCTAAAGGAGCTGAAAACATATCTTGCTTTATGTCCCTTTTATAAACCTAGCAGAGTCTGTTAGGGTGGAGCAGTGCTTCTTTGGAAACTGTTACAACACTGCAAGAAAATGGCTGTTGTTCTTTATGGCTTGTCAAGGAGCTATGAAGTCCTGAGACACCTGGGGAAAAGCTGGGGGAGGGAGTGGCGGGCAGGAGCAGCCCAGGTGTTGGTGGTTGCAGTGGGTGAGCAGGGAGTCCTGCCCTGGAGAGGAGAAGCTCTGCAGGGGCTGAAGGAGTGGAAGGCAGCAGCAGCAGAAGAGTTTTGTGGACCTGTGAGTGCTAAAGTCTCTCCTGATGGGTGAACTCTTTGGGTTTTATCCCTGTTTGGCTTCTGGGGTGGGGTGGGGGGTCAGCTCCGTTCCACAGGCTCTGCCGGGGCCTGTTTATCCCTTGGCGCCCTGAGTCCCTGTGAGCTGCCCAAACAGGGAAAATGAGTAACTTATTACCAACCAATGCTGGTCAGGGTCTGGCTGATCTCATTTCCAGACCGTGGTGCCTACGTAGCATCCCTTGCATAAGTTGAGAAGCAGCAGCTGTGAGCCCTGTGCCCTCACAGAGGGACCTGCCGAGCACTCACCTCGGGGCTGTCGTGCCGCACACCACACCAGAGGAAGGTTTGGAGCCTTTTGGACCAAAAGCAAAAGGGGTCACAGACTGGCTTAATTAACATGGGTGGGATATCTTCACCTTTGGTACGTCCTGAAAGAAAGAAAAATGATCATGTGTTGGTCTAAGAAAAGCCAGGTGTGAGCCTTGGGAACTGCACAGCACGGGGTGGCGGCAGTGGGATGGGAGCCCACTGCCCGGGTTTGTGCCTCACAAGCTGCTTGCTGGACTTTTTGAAGGCTCTTTTATCAATCTGGTCAGATTCTTGTGCAAAAGCTTGTTTATATGGAGATCTGTTGAACACCAACCTGTTATAAAGCTGATCACCAGCCCTGTGATGGCACAGCCTAGGCAGCCGATGGCACTGAAGTACAGGTAGGACAGGGAGTACCAGGTGTCTGCCAGCAAAGGCCTGTGAAGAGGTCACAAAAGGGAAAGAAGCAGCTAGTGGTGACCAATGAGTATGTTCATGTTGTCTCTTGACTCTGCCAGCAAAGTACAGCTCAGGCTGCAGGCAGGGTATGATCTGGCCAGTGGTCAGGGCTCCTGGCTGCACCCCAGGCTCCACGCTGTGCCAAAGCGCAGGTGTGGGTGGTAAGGGCAGGGAACATACCTGTCTGGAGCCGCCGTGGGAGCCACCGTCGTCAGCGCCGCGGTGCTGTTGGCCAGGGTGCAGTTGAGAGTCGAGAGGTGCAGAGGGATGGACTTGATGGGCGGGGCAGGGTAAATGAAGGAGCCAACACCAGCCCAGAAAGCTAAGGTGATCCCAGTTAAGAGGCCTCCAATAGCTCCCTTGGCAGATAGAGAACGACAATGTCAGAGGTGATGCAGGGGAAGTACTTTTCTGCAAACATGAGTTAGGCAGGAGCCGGTGATGACTGGTTACAGTCTCTGTCAGTGTAAATCCATTCTGTTCTCTCTCAACTGAGGTATAAAACGTGGTCATTTATTGCCCCCTAGTAATAGGAATTGAAGCATAACTGTGTTGATCAAAACTGCAATATGGAATTTCATTTTACTTGTGGGTAAACATGATGGGACTGCTCGTGGGGCAAGATGAAACAAACTCATACTGTGTTTTGCCTTAATTAACACACAGCAAATGAAATAATTCCGTGCTTCCCAAGGTCAGCAAAGGCTGGAGGGAGTGTTGAATATTATTTTTATTTTAATGAAAGAAAAGAAACTCAAAAATAATCTTTAAAAACCCCTTATGTGGATCTGATCACCAATTGTTCCACACTTGGGTAGTATTAAATTTAAATGGGATAAATTTAGACAGTGGAAAGGGACCATTAAACAGATCTTGGACTACTTCAGGATCTAAATATGAAAGGCAGCCTGGAGACTGAAACAGGGTGGAGGTATAACCAACAGCACCAAGGTATTTTTTTTTTAGATAAGGATTTATTTTTTTCCTTACCTTCCAGTTAGCACAGGGAAACACAATTCCCAGGGTAAATAGTCCCAGCATGGGCCCTCCACACATCCCATGGATGGAGAGGGAAGCCTATGGATGTAGAGATGAGAAAGGAGCTTAGTGCAGCAGCAGGAGGGAGCCTGCACATTTCTGGTTTCAATCAGTAATTTTCAGTGGAAGAAGGGACCTGCCCCAATTTTGGTGCACATTTTAGTGCAGAATTGAAGAGAGAAAGAGTCACACTCAGTATAATTTCCCAGTAGTGAGTAAACAGTGAAGGATCTTGAGGACTTTAGACTTTTAATTTTTTTCCCCTGATTATTCCTCTCAGCAGAGTGTCCACAGGGATGTCAGTGTTACTGAATTCACTGTGTTTCTGTTCATTGCTGTTCAGTTCACTGCACTTCTGAAGCACAACATACCTGCACAACTCCCCCCAGCAGCGATGCTGCCGCAGCCATCGAAGTGCATAGGACACCATATAATATACCTGGAAGAGATCAGGCAGTGAGGTTGTCAGTGCTGGTTAATAGTGTGGAACATTTCTAGCTCATCTAGTGCTCAAAGTGGGCAGGCAGCATGAAGGAATTTGCACTTTGCCTTTGGTATTTAAAGCGGACCATTGAGCACCCAGCAGCCTCTTGTGTGAAGTCTTGTTGGATTTTTAGTTGGCTGGGTTTTTTCTAATGAAGCAGAACTTTGCAATGAAATTAATTTAGAATTTATGCCTCATGTAGACATGTTTCTGTTGCCTTTAAGTAATGCTTTTAAAATAATCCAATTAATTAAAAGGGAAATTATAAACAACATGGCTTTCTTCCTTTGACATCAGTTTTAGCCTTGTGGTAGACAAAGCTCTGTATGTAGCAGGCTCAAGGAAAGCCACCCAAAATTCATCTTATGTGCTAGCACACCTTGGTTTCAGAGGTAAAAAAAAATGGTCTTTCTAGGTTCTGAGTGCAAAAATATAGTAGTAAGTGGAAAAGCAGAAAATGAGCAAGTTGGAGACAGTTGTGAAGTACTGATTTGGCTCTTCTGTGACCTTTGCAAGCACCCGTAAAGGTTTATGGTATTATTACAATCCTTATAAAAAGGTTCTGATATTGCTGCAATACTCGTCAAAAGTATCTTAAAAATCTGAACCACTGTGGACAATTGATATTTTGATGGTCTGTTTTTCATTTATTTTTACTTTTTTTATTTTTCTTTGAAAAACTGAACTGCCTGCTCATGTGAAAAGGCTTTTTTGTACTACTATAAAATAATGGTATTTAGTAATACTATTTAAGTGCTTTGTGGTAATAACTGCACTAATATTCTTTCTGTATTGTAAACAAGATCCCAGAATGTTCCCCAGTATTTTCAGCATGCAAAACTTCTCCAAGAATTTTGAGCAGTGGTTGCTGATGCTTGTCTGTATTTGGTTTTGTACTGTATAGTGACCATGCTTCATTTTACTGAAGCATCAGGCAGATGCTCATCCTGAGAGTTTGTAAAAGGTTACACTCCTGTGGAGGATTCTGAAATACAAGTGGATTTCTGAAAGTGTCTGCAGACAGTACCCTTCATTACTCACAGAACTGCTCTGGGACTCAACTGAGAGTCTGAGACTCTCAGTGATCAGAGTATATAAGATCCTGCCCTATTTTCTCCTGGACTCATAGCAGCTGTGGGGGGATGGACACCTTTGCTATAAAGAAATTGATCCTATTTAGGGTACCTACACAAGCCTTTGCTGATCCATGTGCTCATCTTCTCAGAGAGGTTTGGGAAACCTTTCTTGACCAAGTCTTCAAAGGTAACAGTTGCTAAAGCATTGATGCTGGCAGCGACCGTGCTGCAGAAAGGGAGAAGAATGTTAAGTAAATGGGAAGCAATATAACATGAAATAAAGTTGTATTCACAGAGAAATGCTGCTTCTTCTTTAGCATTAATACTATAAAAGGTACAGTTCTGGAAAAGTAATTTTCATAGACGATGATGCTGGTGAGGTTTCTGTCCCTTCTGTGATTGCTTCGTGCTGGCACAGAGCAAGATGGAAACTCATCCTAACTGACCCTTCCATCTACCAAGCTGCAAAGACCTTTAGAATATAGAAATGTTCCAGAATAAACATACTGCCCCCTGATAAGTCAATGGATGTGCAGTGACAACTAGTGATACCCTATTCTTCCATAAAATGTCTGTTCTATTCTCTGTTCTAACTGAAAAATATGGAGTAGGAATAGCCTGACTTTAAGCTAGGTGAGTTAACCCATATTTGGTGAATACCATCTCTGTGAATTTGTGGTGACAACATGGCAGTGGCAATACCTACAACACGATATTTGGTACTCAATGCCTCTAGTTTCCTACCAGGAACAGCCAGTGCCTTTAACAGTTCCTTAAGTTTTTCTTTCTTTCTTTCTCTTTGTTTTGTTGTCTCTCTCTAGTTTTTTTCTACAGATAAGAGTCTTTAGAAACAGCCTGTTGGAGACTGACTCTATAGTGTTTGAATAATATCACTGTGAAGTTGACTTTTCATTTCCTAATGTCCTATGAAGTATTGACGTTTGGCCTGTAGGGGGTAGAAACTACAGTAACATGCAGGTGCCTCCTGAGGAACACACCGTTTTTAAAACTTCTCTGTGCAGACATCTCCTTCTAATCTGTTTCATGTGCAGGTAGGCTTGCTGAAAAGCTCTGTCCCTATCTATGATCTTGTGGCAGTCAGGTTAAGATAAGGCAATTTCACCATGAGTTCCTAAGGTGTTTCAGGAAGTTGATCTCACTTTTGTCTATCTTGATAAAGTTATTCTATGGGATGAAAAGATACTGGACAAGTGGAGCTAGACTTTGGCATAAATATAATGTAATTTAGCAAAGCACTACTGCTTCAGAGAACATGCTAAGAAAAACAGCTGGGCTTTCCTTATGGTTTCTTGTTTTGACCTCTTTCTGGATCCTGAAGAAATCAATGGAATGTAGCTAAAATGTTAATTCAGAGTCACAGACCTTAGTGTTCCACTGAATGCACAGGCCACAAAAAGTCCTGGAACTCCTGGCATCGAAGAAAAAATGTCCATAACAAAATACGGCATGAGCTGGTGTAGAGGAAGCAAAGAGCAACACAAGCAATTAGTTAAGATTTTCCCAGCTGATGGAAGAGAAGTAAGCATGTTGCTAAATTCTGGTTTCGCTCCAGCTAACAAGAGGAGTCAGATTTTGAGCAAAGGGGATGGTGCTTGGCAAAAATGCTGAATCAGATTAGTGCTGCATTCTAGCCCTGATTTGGCCCCCACCTTAGTGCCTGAGAGCTGAAAGGACATGAAGCATCCCACAAAACTTCAAATATCTCTATACAGGCTATGTCTGGGCCCGAAATAATTCTAATTGTAGTGAGTGGTATCTGTACCTGATCAGGTGCTGAAATGAAATCAGCAGTCCAAGGGTCACAGGTCATGTAATGAGAGTACATCACCAAACCACAAAATACTGCACATACCAGGACTGTCCAAAGTCCCAACAAATTCAGGTAAAGTGCCCTAGAACAAAGGAGATAAATTCTGTTTAATACAAGATAAGTATAGAAAAGCTGTTGCAAATTAATTATTTCTAATTTGTTAATCCAATAGACATGTTAATCCAAGCTACCTGTGTAATTCAAAGCTAGCTGTAGAATGTCTTAAAGTCACCACCTGGATAAGAAATTGCATTTATTACTGATTTTTAAAAAACACCAGGGAAAAATGCAGCCTCTTCATACTATAAAGCAAGGATAAATGTAATTTTGTGCAGCTGGAAGAGACCAGCAACTTGTAGGCAGAAGGAACTGCACCAAGCACTGGGTCTGTCCCTCCTGTTCCCTTTAAGTGTAGTTCTTGTCTGTTGGGGGTTGCAGCTGTTCTCCTTTTAAGCAGTTCAGAGTGTTATTTCACATGGATTCTGTCTGGGTTACAAAGTAATACACTTGGCTTTTTTTTCTTTTGTCCATAAAATGGCTGTGGGTGACAGTATGTGCTGGGGAGGTTGTGTGGCTGCAGGTCAGTAATCTTGTAGCTCCCAAGAGCTGCTAGATTTTATACAACCTGCATCATGTTTGGATGTCACCGTACACGAGGTCTCTTGCTAAGGTCAGTTCAGAGCTGTGCTCCTGGGACCCAAAGGTCTTTCAGGACTTGTTACTAGGGACATTCTCACTGTTGAGACCTCCAAACATTTTTCAGAGACTGAATTTCAACAGGATCAAATCATATAATCTGTCATGGCCTGAAGAGAAATGAGTATGATTGCCTCAAAAAAGCTAACATTTTGATAAAAGAAAGAAATAGCCACTTTTATGCTTTAGCCAAGTGGACAAGCAATTAGCAGAAGGTGTATTTAAAAATCTGGTTGTTCAGTAAAATGTGTGTCTAGCTATGCACATACTACTGCTGAATTTAAGCAATGTATCAGGCTGGAGACCTGTATGTCTACATTATGAATTTCACATGGTTCTTTGCCATTGATTGTAATTATTCTTCTATTTTAGAATGTTAAGAACTTACTTATTTCATTTTACTTACATCATTACTTAAAATATAGTGCCCCATTGAGTTGATAAACACTTTTAATACAGTGCAACATAAACACAATACCAGTGGATACATTTTTCCAATAAAAATGTAGCTGAGTTGATAAACACTATTAATACAGTGCAACATAAACACAATTCCAGTGGATACATTTTTCCAATAAAAATGTAGGTAGGACAACTTCTGTGTGGACATCTTTTCCACACTCTGCTTCCAAGAGTTAATTTGGGAGCCTGACCCCAAACTAATAAACTGCAAGAGCTAGATAGGTACCCTTTTTTCTTTCTCCATTTACTTCTATCACTTAGGGCCAGAAGGAATAAGATTGTCAGGGCAAAATTAGCTTGTTCCCACCCAATGAGAACCCAGTATTTATAGCTTACAAACTGCTAGTATAATTCCATGCCAGGATGTTTGGTTGCTGGTGTAGGTTAATGGCAGGTAACTCACAGTTTAGCGTGTTTTTCCGATTTGCAGGAAATGCATCTCTGTATTGTGGACTGATTGACTCCATAGAGCCCCAGCCACGTAAATGTTCCCCCAATAACAATGGTCCAGAAGGTGTGTCGTCTCAAAGGATCAACATCAAAGCTAGAAAAGAGGAGATGTAATTCAGTTCACTTACTTAAATGCACGTTTGATTAGGAAGAGGTAGGTGATTTTTCAGAAGTATCTGGTAGGTCTTCCCCTCTGAATCAGAAGTACCACTTTGGCAATACTGTTTTCCAGCAGACACTTAATGTCTTTAAATTCAGATTTGGAAGGTTTTGTACTTTTTTGTTGGAACATACTGCTGTCAAGTCAGGATAAACATATACAATGCAGACTCATTCAGAGATCCAATTGAGGTAAATCCCACTTATAAGGCTTTTTATGCTGAGATTTCAGATCTGTGTCATATTGCAGCAACAGACCTGTAAGCCATCCTGCCGGGAAGCCTCTCATCTGCAAGGACAAAGCCACTTATTGAACTCTAAAAATCCTCCAAGCTCTTAGCTACATCATCGTGACGTGTTATTTCCTTTACAAGAAATTGCTTCAGCTGCCGTGTTATCTCTTTTTGACAATGGAATTTGATTACTCAGTCATTCCAACTAGTACAAGTACATCTCTCTGTCTTGATTCTGTCATCTTTGCAGTTCTGCTAATCTTGATAAGTACAGCAGATAACATTTGACCTTGCTGCTGGGATCTGTCAGTGACTTGCCTTGATCAATGAACTTTTCAGTCAATGCCACAAACAGCCAGAGGAAGGTCAGTTTGTTATCCCAGTGCACTGGTGCATCACTGCTGGCTGCTGTGGTGAGTGTCACAGCTTCAGTTTTATGACTTCAGTTTTATGACTAGAAAAATGAAAGATATAAGCAACTAGAAGGAATAATTGGGTTGTGTTTGTAGCTGCAAGAAGAAAAATCATAGAGTTCCCATTCAGTTCAGCA